CACCCCCTCAACCACCCCTTGGGTACTTTCAGATTACTCAGTACTTGAATGTGTACATTCAAATGGTTCTGTTTTTTCACTTGTTTCTATAGGACTGTCTATGCCTCTCACACACTTTACAGTAACAAGGTTAAACACTGACCTATATCTATGTATTTCTTTCTTTACATTTGTACTGTGGCTGGATGTCACAACAGGTAGGAAGCAAAGAAATATTTGCCACAGTGTTAGATAACCTTTAAAGGTGGTTTCCTGTGAATTCAACCTTTGTTCTCATACACATACCCTGATCTCTACAAAAACAACAAACTGGTGCCCTTTAAAGTGACAGTGCTTTAAATGTCATGTTATGCTGTGTTACTGGTGTAAATCCAGAGTAACCACTGCAGCCAAATGGAGTTGCTTGTTGGTTATACTAGTATAAATCCAATCAGACTATGATCTTTAACATTTAATTGTGCCCTATTCACCCTGTAGTGTTTAAAGAACCACAGTACAAGAAAGCTAATGAAGTTGATGGAGCTTTTTGTTCCTCTGATCTTAACATAATGGACCCAGTTTTCTCTCAGTTACAAACACTGGTTAGAGTACATTGAAACAGGAGGGGGAAGCTCTTACTGTCCCAGCCAAGGAGAAGAGGAAGCTGTGGGGGAGCTTTGTTTCCCCCAAGCAATGGAGAGGAGGGGAAAGCTTTCCCTTTGTTTTTTCCAGAGGAGGGGGAGCTGTGCTCTCCCCGCTTCTTTTACTCCTACTTGCAAGTCTACACAAACACTGCTGAAATTTCTCACCATTGCTAACAGCAGTTCAGCGCCACCCCATGTTAGCAATATTGGGAGCCCTAGTGTAGACGGGCCACTGGCTGCCACCAGCATTCCAAGCACTGTTGATCAAACCTTGCTCTGAGCATGGTTAGATGAATGAGGCTTAAAATGTTATCTATACTAACATTCCAAGCATTGCCACCTCTGGTGAAGTTGAACCACTATTAGCAACACTGGGAAATTTTTGCAGAAGTTTCCCTAGTGAAGTCATTGGAGTTACAGCAACATAAAACTTGTATGAGAGAAGAATTGGGCACAATATCTGTGTTCTATGACTCTTTATGAGAAATCATGAGGCGTAACATATAGTTATTGGTAACTTAGAATATTTGGGGTTGTGATCATTTTTTAGTATTAGTATTACAGTAGCACCTATAAGTGCTTGTCAGATATTGGGGCGGGCACTGTGCTAGGTGCTGTACAGCTATGTAATAAAAAGACAGTCCTTGCCCTAAAAAGCTTAGGTTAACATTTAAGGCCTAAGGCTGCTCTGATTGAAGTCAATAGGAGTACGTCTGTCAGCTTCAACTGGAGCAGGACCAAGCTCCATAATGATTGTTGCTGTCTGTTTTATATGCAGTGTGAGCTATCCTGGACTTTGGTTTGTTTCCCTATGGAAAACATCCTGTGAAATTTTTTCCCACCTCTGGTGCATTACAATAGCAGGTCTCCTGTCTTAAGGGATTCTGTATTTCAACAGTCACATCCTTTGTGTGTTTCACAGGGTAGGCGCTTCCAAGTTCATATGTCAACCTTCCCAGCTTGTTCTCATCACAGGAACAACCCGTCCCAAAATGAAGTTCTTTCCTTCTAGGGTACAAGCATACTCCAGAAACAGACCTTTCACTCTGAGCTTCTACGCCACACTCTCCTTTGCCTGTTATCCTACTCTGGCTCCTCAAATCCTCTTCCTGCCTGGCACGTAGCTCAGGCCTGCTTGCTTCATGAGCTCCAGCTGCCTTGACTCTCCAGACCCTTAATGCTTTCCTGCTTGGGCCCTGAATCCAGTCAATAAGTGTGGGAGAAAGAGGTTTGAGCCTTCTCAGCACACTCCATGCCCTCAAATCTACAGTGTTGTCAAGGCCCAGACATGTTATACCCCAGCACAATAGCAGATACGCTTGCTTAATTATCAGCTTAATATTGAAATACAACTAGAATGCTGAAGAAAAAAAGAGTTAAGTAAATGGTAAACTCTTATCAGTATATCACTAGGAAGGTAGATAACTACTATGGATACCTAATTTCTTAAGCAAAACCTAAAGGCAGTTTAATAAAAGCATTGCCAATTTCTATAGCAGTTTATGTGGGTATGAAACTTGGGGATCTAAAAATAGATAAGAAAAAATCTTGTAGTCCTCCATACTCACACAAAACTCACTCATGGGAATTTTGGCTGAGTATAGGCTGAATAAGGACTGTAGGATTTGAGCCTAGGGTATTCTTCTTGATTAAAATCTGTACTTAGAAACGTATCCCTTTTGAAATGAAGTTAGCATATGCAGTTAACATTAGCAGTACTTTTTTTGTAGTTTACACTCCCACATAAGACTTGTAAAAATCGGTTAATCCAGGAGTGAGTAATTTTTGGTCTGACGGGTGAGAAAAGTAACTCACGCTTTTAGTTACGGAGGTGGGAGGGGTGGGGAGGCACAGGGAAGCAGATTTTGAGCTGGTAGATTTTTTTTTTCTTCACAGTTTTACAAGTCTGCCCTCCTACACATTTGCATCATCTTTAATGCTTAATTCCTGCTTGTATTTGTGATGTAAGAGGTGGGCTTCAAGACCTGTTTCCATAAGTGTGCAAGAAGAGGACTGAGTGGACACACCAGGAGCCAAAAGGAAGCTACATCTCCAAGCACATTCAGGAGAGATCTCCCATTAAATAATAGTGCAAATAGAGGAAAAAAGATCAAATGCCCCTTTGTGCAAAGATTGGACTCAGTTTCAGAAGGAACAAAACTCCTTTCTAATTTGCTTCTGGCCCTTCTCCTTTCCCGTTGAGAGACCTGGAGAGTCTCGTTCACTGACCAGCCTTCCAAAGACTTTGTAAACTCCAACAGAGTGAGGAAAACACTCATAAGATTCAGCTGATCTCTAGATTTTTCCATACTCCAGAGAAACCTGCCCCACTCTTCCCACCTGCCGAGCAGATGAACAGTCTTAGTCTGATTTTTTCCATCATAGAGAAGCTCCACTTCACCTTCCCTCTCTTCAGGCTGCGATTCCCGGTCCCTGGATTTAATTCCTTCCTTCAACAGAGTGGGCAGCCAGTTCTCTCAAACCTAGTACTCCCTTACTTTTATCTCTTGTTCTCTGTGTGATTATTCCATCCAGCTTGACATTTCTGGCAAGTGTTGTGGTATGGAGCCAACTGCAGTGCCTCTTTTCAGGCCAGCCTATATAACCCCTTCCCTCCTGGCCCAGAAAGTTATTTGCAGACCCTATTGTAAAGAGGCATTTTTTTAGGGATGTTCTCTTTGTGTCAAGATTAGCAGACTTTACCTTTGTTCACAGCTGTATATATTCACAAGATGTAAAGATCTCCTGTTTTGGAGATGTGAAGAGGAAGTTTCAACAGAAGAGCAGCCACACAGGATGCATCCCATGCATGCTGTAGTGTAGAGGGGTTCTTTAATGCCAGTCCTGCCGGGGGTAGCTTGGGGAGACAAGACAAAGTGGGCCAGGGAGGGGCTGAGAACTCAGTCCACAACTGATGTGCAGAGCCAATAGCCTTTGGGCATAAATTAGTATGTGCTTCAGCTTGGGTCAAAGGGATGGATTTTTGCTTGCCAAACCCCTCAACCTTCACTTTAGGTTTCATACAGGTGAAGTGAATTTCACTTTTCGCAACAAAATATGTTACTGTGACTTAATTGACGTGCCTTAGATATGCCTCACATGCTAATTACCTGTAAGACATGAATGTCGTGCATTGGTTTATTTAGGAGTTTTTCCTGTGTATGTACGTGTGTGGTGTTACCAATGGACATCATGTTGGCTAACTCTGAATCTTGTAATCTTGAGAGCTGGAGTTGGTCACGGTGTTTGTGGGGAAGACGCTATCTGATTAAATTTAGTCCTCTTTTTTTTTCCCCCCTGTTCATGGATCATTCACCAAAGATCTTACGCAAATGTTTTTCAGGCTATGGATTATTTGAAAGGTGTTCATTTTTGCTATGTGCTGTTTGCAGTCTGTGTTTGGTCTCATGGTGCTATAATGGGTTTCTCTTCCACATGCTCTAGATTGCAGGTGGGTTTAGTTTTGAGGGAAGCTGGAGGAACTGAAAGTGTTCTCTGGCGGTACAGTGTCGGTAGTCTGCTGCAGGGGGACAGGCATTGCAGTGAGAAAGCTTCAGATACATTAGAAGAGAATTGTGGATTTTTAAACAGTGTGGTCTTGTCTCTTCATCTGGCTATTCCTGATGCTACAGTATTGTTTCTACTCCCTGACTGGATGACTGAAACTTTTAAGGTAGGGGAATAATCTTATTCCCATGCAAATATGCATATTCCTGTTCTCCAGATGTGTGAACTGAAACCTGTATTTGTGAAAATATGTGAACTGCAAACCTAACTGGTACAAACGTGGCAGAACCTAACAACCATTCAGAATACAAACCTTCACACTCTGGTTTTGTATCATTCAACTAGCTCTATTGACAGCAGATATGTTTCATGCTGGGTTAAAATAAGGGAGATTTTTTCCTTCCTCTTTTTGGTTGGAGGAATAATGTTCCCAGATAACTTCCTCCCTCCTCATTGGCTAGTGCAGTGAGAGTTCCCTACTAAAATCTACTTTAACCAATGTCTGTGTATGAGCACTTACTTTGTGGCATAAATTGATGAAAAATGTATTGTTACATTACAAATGATGGATGAATGTGAGAATTTATTTTTTATTTATTTTTAAATCTGCTGTCCAGAAGTTGACACAGCTATATGCTGGAGCAGGAACGAGGATTTTATTACCTGATTTACCAAAATATTTGCAATTTCCTCCATAGTCACAGATACAATACTAGACTTCTGATGTATCTTGTGGCAATCTGGCATATATCTGTTTATAGTAGAACTCAATACCTATGTCCAGCTACTACATTCTGCCTGGCTAAAGTACAGTGTATAGTGTAATGTTAGAAAACACACCATAATAGGATTTTGTATCATTTTAGGTTCTTTCTGCAAGATGGAAAATGCATTGCTTTTGTGTATATTCGTGTCCCATTGGCATTTCCTAAATGGTAAGAAGCAGAAATATTTGCTTAGGTTTTTTTTTTTCAATGTATGGGCATGGGAACTATACCATCCAACTTAGTTTTTTTAAACTGTAGGTAAAAAAACACTGTTCTTTATCATTTAAATGTTAAGCCAAATGTGTGTGCTTGAAAAGGGCTAGACTGATGTAGCTGGCAGTAGTGTTTGTGTAGACTTGCAAGTAGGAGTAAAAGAAGCGGGGAGAGCACAGCTCCATAGGTACGGTATCCATAATAGTTTCAGTGTATCCACAAAACAGTGTGGGTGGGGGTGTGTGTAAAGAGCAGATGTAAAGAACTGCACAAAGGAAGACATTGCAGTGTGCAAGTTTTATTGGTCCACAAATCCAAGTACTATGCTACATATTCTTCAGTGTCGTCTGCTGGCACTTTATCTAGCAACTATTTACATATATACAAATATAGAGCACTCTTGTAACAGGCAGCAGCGGTACAAGCTTCTCCACAGTGTTCTGAAAATAGGGGCCAAGAGGACACCCACACCTAGTTTACGTATACAAATATCCTCTGTGTGTGTGTGTGTACACAACTCAAGTGTAAATAGCCAGTTAGGTACCTAACTGGTTATGTGCATGCACAAATGCCAAACTTGCACACAGACACTGTGGATGTTTGTGTGCATAAATTAGGCACACAGAAATGTATATACACGGTTGGTAAAATATAACTTTGAAAATCCATGTTCTTTTTGGAAAAGAAGTTTTATTCTGAATTCTGTTTTTCAGCTTTATTCACAGTTGAAGTTCCCCAGCCACAGTACACTGTAGAATATGGGAGCAACGTGACCATGGAATGCAGGTTTCAAGTGAATGGTGAATTAAAGCTTCAAGATTTAAGTGTCATTTGGGAGAAAAAAGAGGAACATACAAAAGAGGTTTACAAACTTCACAAAGGAAAGGAAAACTTTAATAACCAACACAGCGACTACGGGGGAAGAGTAAATTTGTTGAAAGATAAACTGCAGTTGGGACAGTCTATGCTTCAGATCACCAGTGTAAAACCTACAGATGCAGGGACTTACCTCTGTCTCATTGGCTATGAGGGAGCTGACTACAAGACGATCACTTTGCAAGTAAAAGGTAAGCATTTTTTCCAGATAGTGGAAATCAGTTTATTACTGCATTATCCAGTTACAAGTCTCCCCTCACTGACTTCATTGGGATGGCAATAATGCCGGAGTGTGAAATTTGGCTCTTGGTCTGTAACTAGCATTCACAATGTGTGTAAGATCTAGCTCAAGCCTCTACATTACAGCATTGTCAACTCAACTCGAGAGAGCAAGTGCTGCCCATCCTTTCCTTCTCTCGCTTACATTTGGAGGGTAATGAGGGAGGTGGAGATTAGGCAGAGCACTTCTTGTGCAAAAGTGCTCAGGTTTCCTTGAGCACCTCCTACCTCCTGGTCACACTGAGGACACTCTAACCTCCCTCTATGGCCCCTTCTCACCCATAGCTTTGCCTTCTGGAGAAGAGGACTAATCCTGCAGAGGTAGGGGAGAGGAAAGGCAAAATACCGAATGGATTCCCATCCTCTGTACAGGGATGATGCTGACACCTCTTGCCCCAGGCTGTGACCCCGATACAAGTTATATGTTGCCCTCATTTTCTTTCTGAAAAACTATGGATTGCTTGTCTCAATACTGCTAGGTATATATTATAGGTTGAACCTTCCAGTTCTGCACAAGAGTTTATTCAGTATCAAGAATGCAAAGTTCGCTACAAACTGTTCTCCCACAAAGATACAGTGGAAAACATGTAGACTAAGGGGAATATTAATATCACTTTGATGCACAGATATTTATGCAAGTAATTCCCACAAATGCTGATGGGAGCTATGGGATAAATTGTGGGTTCTGGTGCATGTATGATGCAGAATCTGTAGGACCCCAATTATCCACTTGGGGTCAGCATCCAAAGAGGCCTCCTCTGACCATTCTGAGGTACCCTCATGGCACTTACACAGCAGCCCAACCCCACACCTACCTCTGGGTGGAGTCCATGACTCTGCCCTTTTCTACCACACATGGTAGTGAAACAAATGAAGAATGATGTTGGGGAGGCCAGCTGAAGAAAGCACTGGGTGTGAAGGTTGATACAATCTTTAAAAAAAAGTTGCAAAACTGTAATGAAAATAGATCAGTCCAGGTAGAAAACCTACCTCCCCACTTTTACCATAATTATGAAGCAAACAATAATGATGTTTAACTTGATCATCAAAAACATATTACTTGCTCACATGCAGAATTTTGGTTTGAAAAGAGCATGACCTCCTGAAATAACACACAATCTTCTGTCAACGCCATAGCTATAATAGCTTTTTGTGTCGTTGTTGTTTTTGTTTAGCTCCTTATAGAAACATAACCAAAAGAACTGTGACTGTCCAGGGGACTCCAGGACACAACGAATGGGAGTTAACATGCCAATCACAAGGGTATCCTAAGGCAGAGGTCATTTGGCATAATGGGGAACATCAAGACTTCAGTGCCAAAGCAAACACAAGTTATGAAACAGGAACTGATCAACTGTATAGTGTGACAAGCACACTTAAAACCAACACAAGTATTAATGAGACATTTCACTGTATATTTTGGAACAAAGAATTTAAAGAAAACACATCTGCTATTTTAATCATACCAGGTAATGTTTCTTAAGTATGTTAATGCATTGTAAGGTTGTCTATTGGATCAACCACAACCTGCTTTTCCTAATCTAGCCCAGGCCAAGCAATATATTGTAGAAATGGGTATTGTCTGGGGGCTTGAATTTTAGGCCTAATAGCTGGAAACTCTTGTGGGGGTTTTTAAATCCAGGCTCTTACACAAACTTCCTCTATGGCACTGGGTAAGGCACAGAACTGCCCTGCCTCAGTTTCCCACATGCAAAATGTAGACAATACCTTGCAGAGGTTGTATACAGGGCCGGCTCCAGGCACCAGCTTGTCAAGCAGGTGCTTGGGGCGGCCACTCCGGAGAGGAGCGGCACGTCCAGCTATTCGGCGGACGGTCGCTGAATTGCCGCCACAGATCACGATCGCGGCTTTTTTTTTTTTTTTTTTTTTTTTTTGGCTGCTTGGGGCGGCCAAAACCCTGGAGCCAGCCCTGGTTGTATAGGCATTAATGTGATCGTGATTGTAATGCACTCTGAAACACTGAAAATGCTAAGTGTTGTTTTTCCACCATGTTTATATTTCCAGTATACATGGAGTGGGTGGGTGGTGATTCAAGGTGTGGAGTTCTGCACAGCTTTAAAAGTTATGTGAAAGTCATGTATGAACCTGAGGGTAGAAAATGTCCCAGTCTAGCTGGAGCCGAGAAATGAAACCTTCCTCTGGAACTTAATCATAAACATGTACAGTTTGGGGATCAGAGCCATCAATTCCTTATTCCTACAATACATTTAAACAAATTAGTACCAGAATAAAAATCTGTACATAGAATGGAGTGGAAGGAAGAGGTTGCAAAAATCCAAAAGTCCAGACGAGGCCCTTGGATACTGTTAGAATAAATCATCAGGGGGAAAAAATGTTATGGTGAGCAAAGTCTCAAGGGATGATGGTATTTAACAAGGGAGTGAAATGATTAAAACAGCAAAATCCCCAGGTGAGATACAGTCCAGCCCTGTAATCCTGGGTGTGGAACTCTGCCTTTCCAAAAGGATACTCCCCAGTCTGTTTCCTGAGCAGTTATTGTGATAGCCATTTCCTTGAACACCTATGGAAGAATGATCCCCCTGCATTCTGTCACAGACCCGTTTGTGTTATCCAGTGCATCTCTTTGGATACCACTGACTCCGGAAGCAAAGATAAATATTAAATTGTCTTCCACCTTGTTTGAAACAGTTTCTGTTTATTGACTTGTCTCACATGGCTTGGAATGCAGCATCAGGGTGTGTCCTTGAACTCAATTTAAAATGTATCACACCAGAATTTGTGCATAATCGCCCTAAGGTATACATAGTAGATAACAGCAGAAGCAAAAGAGAAAGCAAAAATAAATAAGCTGCTTGAATATCATTCTGAAATGCTTAGAGTAGGGTGATAACGTGCAGTGTGGGAGCAGGGGGTTTATACCTGTGACGTGAACAGGGAGGTGTTAGCTACAACTTCAGATGGAGGTTTGCAGTGATTGGTGTAAAATCAGTTTCTGCACTATTGTATATCTTTTCCCTAATGATTAAGCTCCCTTCATAAAATGTTAGCCTTCAAAAAGACTAATATCATCCTGGGGTGTATTAACAGAAGTGTCCTGCATAAGACACAGGAGGTAACTGTCCCTCTGTACTCGATACTGCTGAGACCTCAGATGGAGTACTGTGCCCAGGTCTGGGCACAACTCTTTAGGAAAGATGTGGAACATTTGGAGAGTCCAGAAGAGAGCAACAAAAATGATAATAGTTTTAGAAAACTTGTTTAGTCTTGAGAAAAGAAGACTGAGGAAGAATCTTATAACAATCTTCAAATATATTAAGGGCTGTTATGAAGAGAATGGTGCTCAATTGTTCTCCATGTCCACTGAAGGCAGTACAAGAAGTAATGGGCTTAATCTACAGTAAGGGAGATTAGGTTAGATATCAGGAAAAACTTTCTAACTATATAAGGGTAGTTAAGCTCTGGAATAGACTTCCAAGGGAGGCTGTTGGTGTTTGTCCAACCTGTTCTTAAAAACTTATCAGGGATGGGGTACGTTTACTTAGTCCTGTCTCTGCACAAGGAGCTGGACCTGCTGACTTCTCAAGGTCCAGTCCAGCCTTACGTTACTATGATTCTGTATTTCCCGTGAGCACAGTAATGAGTCATGGACATGTGTTGTAGTGATCAAAGTTGTTTGAACTTCTTAAACTAATTATTGTAATTCAATAATATTAACAACATTCTCAGGTTGTTGGGTTTTGGAATAATCGCAGAGAAATAAAATCTATATAACTTATAACCTGTATTTTTAAATGGTGACAATTTTTTGTGAAATTTTTCCATTTTGTCCAGTTCCATAAGCTCATTGATAATCAAGAAAAAAATAAGACACTTTAAAAAAAAAGTGTTGTTGAAATTTCTAAGATTCAAGAGAGTTTAACCCGCTTGAGTAATTTAACTGGTTACTGTAACTTGATTATTTCCCTAATAATTTTCTTTTAATCCTTTTTAGATTGTCCAGTAGATAGTCAAAGGATTAACAGTAGACGGTATTTTGCAACAGCTGGGGCTGTGTTGGTTCTCTTTGGATCATCGCTTCTATTTATGCTTTGGGTAAAAAAGGGTATACATTTTTTTTACCATATTTTTCTCCTTTTGTTATGTTTGTTGATACTAATAGAATTGAAATCAGCTGATGATGGTCTGTTCCAACTCCTTCCAACTACCCTGAAACCCCCAATTCTCTTAATTCTTTTATCACATCCTTCCTGCTTCCTTTGTTTTTTCTTAATCTGCTCTCACCACATACTAACCATTAAGGTAGTATTTATCATCTCCTTAGCACAGTGAACTGTTTCGTCATCTGCCTACAGGCAGTTGTTAATGCATCTCCATTGGTCAATCTGTAGATGATGCTGCAGAGCATTATGAGTGGTGCTTTCTCCATTCAGAAGTGAAAGCATTCCTACCCAGCTGGCATTGCCAAAGCTGCTTCCGGTTCCTCAGTTTCCCTCATGATATGGAACCTACATGTCATTAGGCTGGCATGATATTTGTCTTTTCTGTTATAGCTTCTAACAAAACTGTCTGAACTTTGACTCAATAACTTTATAAGGGATCTAAATGAGTGCATTCTAGTTATATTTTTATCATGGCTAAAATGTAATAGAAATGACCATAAACAGGTATCTGCAAGAATTTTTGAGATTTACGTCTGGAAGATTTTATCACAAGAGGTACTCCACCTCCCCATACAGTGGTTTGCCACCACTAGTTTGTTCCATTTTCTTGATTTTTTTTAAATTAGATTTTGTTTCTTCAGTTAATTTGAGTGACTTAAAAAAGTTGGTAGCTTCAGGATCAAACGGTTGCAGAGGGATTACCTGAAAAGTACTGGAGGTTCAGTGTTGACACACACCTGTTATGCTGACAGAACCACACCAGTTTGTCATACTGTAACAATATGACCAGGAATGCATGAGGAAGTTTGAGCCAGGCAATGGGCTAACAGCTCACCAGAAAATCTTTTAAAATTATGTAGTAGGCATAAACACACAGCTGGCATGAACTTCAACTGGAAATAATACAGAGCTGTGCGGTAACTTTTTCAGTAATACCTCTCAGTAGAGGTATTAACGTTATGAAACTGTTTTATTATTTCAGGCCATGTAATATATTCCCCCATCACCACCCCAGCACTGGAAATAGCAATACTTTCTGGCTAGAAATCACATGGAAAATGTCTTCCATCATCAAAATTTATGATAAGGTCTCCATTAGGACTGCATATTCCTAGTCCATCAGGTTAATGATAGCATAACATTGCTATGTCAGACTCAGTTCATCTCTTTACACAACCTTCTCCTGCCCCACATAACAGGGTGTTATGGAGATGTCTGTCTCAGGCCCTGTATAAATGTTTTGTATTCTTCTATAACAGCCCCACAAGTGATGTCAGTAGTGGTGTTAGCAGGCTCCAGAGGGTGCTGCAGCTAGCCCTGTTCAATCAACAGTACCTTTGCTATCAGAGTGTGGTGAAACAGGAGTACACAGTGAAAGTGGAGGAGGGAACAGGGGAAATCCTTGGTGTCTCAGAAGTTCCCCTCCTGGAAATATGATATTAAGGTCACATTTTTCCTAAGTTACAAGAAGGAGTAGTATTTTAGCTGTTTTTTCCCCCGAGTTTGCATTGGAACAGTGACAAAGGTGATTTTTCAGTAGATATTATACCTAATTTGTAGTCTTTTGAGGTAAAAATATACAACAGCAAATAAGTTAGATAAATATTTCAGGGGTTTTGTAGTAACACTAAATCTAAAATGAGAATTTTCTTTCATATTCTTCCTTTTTCTCTTGCAGCTAGAAAAGATCAGGACAGGGAGACATGTACAAATAATGCAGCAGTGAAAGTGATAAGTAAGTATTGCATACATGTGACTGGATGTGCTTCAAGTGAAACTGGCTTAATTGAGAACTCCCTACATAATAGGGGCAACCCTAAGGAAAATTGTATTCTGCTCCATTTTGCATTCTTCTTTTAAGTTGTCTGATAACTAGACAGTAATAATTAAACAGTGAACTTGGTGCCTTTTATTTTCTGAAATAATAAAAACATATATTCTGAACAGTAAATTAAGTAAAATATCAGACTGGACCAACTTCACATATTACAACACAAACAGTCCTATCAAACAGAAATTAGTGTTGTGGCTAAAAGTGTAGGCAAACGCAAAGACCAAGCTTTAAAAAAGTGACTAGTGATTTTGAATGGGTCAATTTTTGGTTGTCCATTTTAAGGTGCCTTAAAATGGCTCAATTTCCTCCTTCCTCCAGAGGCTACATCAGATGAATAGTGTTTTAGAAAGAAAAACAATTTTTAGTTTTAGTTCTATAAAACAAACTGTTTTATGCATTAATTCTTTCTGTAAGCCTGTAGTTCAATTAGGCACTCAGCTTACCAAGAATGCCATGGTCAGAATTCTTTACAAAGGATTTATGACCATACATGAGGGGGAAAAAACTATGCCCACTCGTGTGTATATGTGTGTTGATATTTTATTTTATTTTTATTATTTTAAAAGAATTATCGACAGATGAGGAAGAGGGCGATTGCAGAGAGAGTTCTCCTGAGAATGAAGAACTAGAAAGTAAGTACAGATGAAAAAGGAAAAATAGTAGCAAACTTCACACAGTACAAATCATCTGCCAGCTTCCATGTCCAGGAAAAGGGCATAGCCCAGTGGGAGTTGGAGCTTAACGGCAGCTGTTACTAAGGGACTGACAGACTAAGAACTGGCCTGTAGACCAGTTTAAAAATTTAAATGCAGATTTTGAGCACTTCCCAGTCCACACTCCAGTGATTTTAGGGGATCCTTTCCCAATTATTGACTTACTGATCTGAGGCCTCCTATTTTCCTTTCTCCCACCTGTTAGTTACATTTTTTGTTTTTAAAGCTTTGCATTCTAGGGAATCTTTCTAGGTCTCTTTGGCTGATCTCCAAAAAGTAGTTTCCAGGCAGGGAAAGACCAGTAACTTCAGAATGAGACCCCTTTACAATTCTTCCATCGCTGGTTAATGTTCAGTCACCTGGAGATAAACAATCACCTTGTTAATATGCTGCAGCATGGAGAAAATATTAGAATGTTCAGTAAAGTCCATGGACTACGTTTTTATGCATTTGTCACATGACTCTGTCCTTAGGAATGGGGCAGCACAACCATCTAAGCTGGAATTTGATAACAGTTAGTAAAAGGATAATTCCTCCTTCTCTGTTCGCACTTGGAGATTCCTGTGAGTCAATGGCCACAGATACTAATTTTGGCTAAATCAGGCCCAAAGTCATCAAGAATATAATTGCAAAATATGATCCATCAGTCAGTTAATTTTTAAACATCAGTTAGTTTGGCCTTGTTTGCCCTAGATAAGTACATCTGAATTAAAAATTGATCTAGTTAAAAAGGTACAAACCCTTAATGGGAACAAATTTTGCCTGCATTGGGCCCATGATGTGGTAACTGGACAATTACAAGCTACAATAGAGATTATTTATTTTCTTCTGGTGTTAAAAAGATTGGGTCAAATTCTGCATTGATGTATATCCACTCAACCCTATTGGCTAAATGGTGCAGAATTTGTGCAGTATTGTCGGTTATGTATTTTTTATTTATTTTACTTTTGGCTTTAGTCAAACTAAAGATGGTAAATGATGTCATAAATGTGTGGTGATGTCTTTTTTCTATAATGCTTGTTTAATTTTTTTTCTTTTCACAGATGTACGAATTGAGGGGACTTAATGCAGAATGTTTTCTTCCTTCACTGAATATATTCTAGAGCTCTGGGAGTTTTATTTTAAATACTATTTTAAAATGTCCTGGTCTAATTCTCCTTTCATTTACAAAAGTGTAAATTCAGAGTAAATTCACAGAAGTTAATGGAGTTATCCTGATGTAAAACTGATCAGCATCAGGCTCTCTGTGTATGTATTTGTATTTATTTAAGTTCCTACATGTCTGCTTTGTCCATTATGCACTTTTGTGGATGTTTTTCAGGTTTTTTAAATACTTCTATCAAAAAAGAATGCACTTGAGGTTCCTACCCTAATGCATTTCATACTTGTTTTTAAAACATTCCAATTTTTCTCTGAGCTCTAAATTCCCTATTGAGACGCTATCACTTCCAGCCTCCACGGATGAAATTGTCATCACTTTGACCCATACAAGGATAAGGAGGAGACTGAATGTCATGCATGTGGGCCACCATCTGTAGATTTTAAGATATTGGCTAACGTTGAGCAGTTAGTTAGTTAGTTAGTTCAACAGAGAAAAGGCTGTTTAACCCTCTTGTCAACATCATGATTCCTCTTGGGTTGGAAGTCAGCAGATAATCTCTTGCCCTTTGAAGATGCTCCAGAGAGTTAGAAGTTCTACTGTTTACTGTTACTAGGGATATAGTTGGCACCACCAGTTTGCAACTGGTCACTATTCTGATCAACCATCTGAAAAGCAAGACTTTGGACCTTCTAGAAGAATAGCCTATGGAGTGGACTCTTTGGAAACAGTTGAGATGGAACGTCTGCTCTTCTATGATACAAAATAGACTCTCATTAAATCAATTAGCATGCATTTTGGAAGCACTTTTGGATTCTAAGTATCATTAAGCTATGGTTTGGTTATATTTTGCAATATACCTACTTGTCTTTACTGTGTCTTTATTTTACTGTGTCATAAATTATTAGAATTATTTATTACAATAAAATTGAAAACTATATTTTTTAATAAAGAGGGTGTTTCGTTTCCTTTTGTATCCTATTTCCTAAGCACTTCCCCTTTGTATAACATTTTCTTCTTACATTGGCATGGCAAGGGCCTGGTACAAGGACAAACACTTATTAGGATGTGTGTATGTTATTACAATAACTTGAAATATCATTCATAGTCACTCCAAGTAACCTTTTCCAATCTCCCATCATGAAAACCATCATTTGAGATGTACTCAAATCTTAGTTTCAGACTTAAAGTAGCCAAGTCTTTTCTGTAAAGAAATTAAAGGGGTATTAACACCTATGGACAAAGTTTATGAACTTTCCTGCAGCACTGAAACAAACTGAAATCCATAGGGTGAAATTTAGTCCTGTGGATCGGGCTACCACTTAAGCCTTCAAAATAGGGCTTAAATGAAATTTAAGTGCATAGGTTCTGCTAGGGTGAATTGCTTCAGGGAGAATAACTCCTAAAATGAACACAACCCTATTCATTCAAAAAGTCCTCCTGCACAGAATCTTCCTAAGAGAACAAATACTGACTACAGCATTCGTGAGATATGGCTTTATGAAAAAGTTGGAAAACTTTAAAACAAAGTGGAGTGCCTCTCTTTTCAAAATGCTAGTTCTCAAACAGGTTATGTGAGTCATTTCAACTGCAAAAATAAACCCCCCCAATGCCTCTAGCTATACTACACCACAGTGAGGGCAACATGCTGTAAATCAGGTTACCGTGGCCTAAAGGCCAAAATGTCTGACAACCCTGGCCTCCTCCTTTTAAAGGAAGTTGGAGCCTAGCTTCCTTTGCTGGAATTTGTTGATGTGCTGGGCCTGGCCGCTTTTGTCAGACTGATCACAGAAGTCATGAAAGTCACTAATGTGGTGTGGCTGCTTTAGGCTGCACCATGGGTGCATTTTGGCTGTAAACCTGGCTTAATTACCCCAAGGAGCAGCCCCTGTTTCAGAGGGAACCGCCACTGGCATGGTGCTGATGTAAGGGGTCAGACACCACTCACCATGAGCCTCATGCTGGCTTAGGATGGGAAATGGGCATGCTGATTACTTGTGAGTACTGTTTTAAATGTAACAACTCCCTCAGTCCCTCTAAAGCCCTGATCATGCTCCCATTAAGGTCAATGGCCAAACTCCCATTTGCTCCAAGGATGCAAGATTGAGGTCTACATCCCCAGTCCCACTCCTTGGAAAAGCATCTAATCCTCTTTTACATGCAAAGATTATTTCAGATCAGTGTGGTGCTGCTCATCCAAGCTGGACTCTGTGTTTCTGAATTTCTCTTTCAGTACAGCAACAGCTATTTGCATGTTAAAGTCAAACAGCAGAGTTCATCTAATTTCCCTTTGCTGGCCACATTTCCCTAAACAATTCAATAAATGTAAAAATAATATCACACAGCCAATGTACAGTTCCTTGTTGTCATACAAGGGGCTTTTGTAGAATGTGTTCTCATGGCACCACCATTTTTACATTGCCTGACTTTGTGTGTTTATATTTGCAACCTTAATTTTGTACTAACAAAACATTTTAGTTTAATTTCTATAGCTTTTACATGGGAGGAAAATAAAAAGGACAGGTATTATGATGCTATGGAGTGACACTAGTATTGCCAATAGTCCCGTATTACAAGGGAGATCCCTTATTTAAATAGAAAATTGCCTGTCCCATACAAAATCAGTATGGGATGCCTTTTATCCTATAATTCAACAGCAGGGGGCCAGTACTCACTTGATCTTAGCTCACAGACTGCTGAGAAGCGATGGTACATCTTTCCACTCCCCTCCCGACCCTGGCTCTTCAGGGTTGCGCAGGGAAAGCAGACCAGGCTGAGGTCAAGGGCCAGGGTCCAGAGGAGAAAGATGCACCTGAGAGTAGTGGCCCCCTGGTGGACAGCCCTTGATCACAGCCCCCTCCACTTTCTCTGCACAGTCTCTGTCTGGCAGGGCAAGTGGACAGGGCTGTGTGCCCTGGATTTGTGCTGAAGGGCCAGGGTCAGGAAGGGGCTCTCTCTGACAGGGAAGCTAGTACTCCCCAGGGTGTAGCCTCCCTGCTCGCAGAGTCTCTGTCAGCATCCCCAGCAGAGGAGCATAACTGCTGGTTGGTGGCTACAGAAGTGCAGAAGTGGGGGAGCGAGGTGGGCAGGGAGCCTGGTCCTGGCAGCCAATACCACCTGCACAGACCCCTGTCTGTTTCCCCTGCCGGACAGAGCTCCCTCCTGATTCCAGCCTTTCAGCGTGGCCCCATCAGGTCTTTGTGCCCCCCGATAACCTTATTGTGTCCCCCAGGGGGCCATGCCCCATAGTTTGGGAACCTCTGGCTATAGTGGAACTAGTATTTGGAAGTCATATTATTAGCAGCTAACATTAGCTACAGCACACTTTTAAACGCGGTCAGGAAAACATTCGATGCAATTATGCATGAAGCATCGGGAACACCAGACATTCCTCCTAGACATAAACAGAAAAAAATGAAGAGACTGTGTAGATATAAAAGGCAATGGGAAGAAAAATACAACCGGGTTAAATCTGTCACATGCAATTCTGGTAAAGCCTTTTGTACTTTGTGCCAGCATGAATTCACTAACAGGCATAGAGGTGAAACTGACCTGAAGCAGCACGCAGCAACTGATAGACATAAGAAAAACACGCAGGCCAAAAGCATGACAAACATTAGCAAATTCTTTGTCTCTTCAAACACTGAAAGTGACAGAATTGCAGCATGCGTAATTACAACTGTTTACTGCACAGGTAAACACAGCCTAAATTATAACCGCATGCGCTGTGGTAATAAGCTTGCCAGTGAAATGTTTCATGATTCAAATATTGAGAACAAATTGTGTTATGTAAGAACCAAAGCAAAGCTATTCGTGATTGATATTTTAGCCCCCATGTCTGTGGGGGATTGTTTACGGGATTTATTACCACCATTACCAGAACAGCACATGTATTTCTCTGTAGCGACCAATGCCTCAAATAAGGTGTGGCAGGGCAGGGGTAAAACCCCCTTTAAAGCCCTGCGAAAATGCTGGCTGCAGTCTGTTCTCTGGCCAGGAGGCCAGGGTAGAGACATAGGTATTCAGCAGTGAGCCCAGCTGCAAGTCCTAATCAGGGCCTGCTCAGAGGAACATGCTGAGCTGAGTGCTGACAGCTGGGCTGAGGCACAGGAAGGCTATAAAAACCCTCAGTGAGGAGGCTAGACTGGGAGGAGACAGGAGGATAGTAGAGCTGTCTCCTTACCAAAGGAGGAAGCCTCAAAGGCAGGAGACCCTGGGGAGGGTCTGTGGGGCGCTAGCTGCTTGGAGACCGGGGAACTGCACGAACGCTGTAAATAAAGACACTTGGGTGATCCAACAAAAGGAAGGCATGGAAGACTCTTTATTATACCAGCCTAAACACAGGGTGCAGGCACAAAAGTGGGAGAGCCTCCACTGACCCTGTGACATAAGGGTAATAGGAAGAATTTTCCGATGTGCCTACAATATTTCACCATAACAGATGGCGTTCAGTTCAAGCTGCTCGATTTTTATGAAGATGGTGATGAATCTGCAAAAGGCTTTCGTCATGCTAGTTTGAACTGCCTAGAGAAATACCAGCTTAATGTTAATTGCATTACTGCATACTCTGCTGATAACGCAAATATGAACTATGGCAAACACAATCAGGTGTATCAGTTGTTATGTACAGATAATGACTGCATTTTGAAGGCAAACTGCCCTGCACACTTAGCCCACAATACCTGCAAACTTGCGAGTGCTCAGCTGTCGGTTGACATAGAAACAATTGTATTGAAAATTTACAGCAATTTTTCTGTGTCCGCAATATGCAGAGAACTCCATAGAGTTTTGAGTTTGTTGACATTGAATGGAAAGAAGTAGTGTGACATGTGAGTACAAGATGGCTATCCCTTAACCCAGCAGTTGATCGACTTTTGAGAAACTGGCCAGCGATTACAGCCTATTTCAAGTTACTACAGGAGTCTTGTCCAGTAGCATTAAAGAACATGTTCATATAAGATGGCGAGGATGCCTGCATGTGTTTTTTTTCCAGCAATGCCTCTTGTGTCTTTGATGTACTTGTGAGAAACTTGGAGGCATCAAAACTATGCATTGCTGACTGACGTGTATGCGGAAATGTGCCATTTTTAAGCTGAAGATGCTGAACCGGAAAGAGGATTTGTTTTTTGGATTCCAAGCCAAACAACTGAAGAGAAAGCTACTATTACAACAAAAAGCGAAGGTAAAGAAAGCCATCATTAAGTTTTATGATTCTGCTTTTGTACATCGACAAATGGTTTGATTTCTCTACTGACAATGCAGTGATGAATCTGAAACCCATGGGTCTCTATGAGAAGCTTAGTTTCTCAGATCATGAGGACATAACAGATGCACTCAAAATGAGGGAAATCATAAACATGGACTAGCTCTATGAGGAATTCTGCACCAGTTGAGTTGTGATCAAAACATCATGAAATGACATTTCCAAATCTATCAGTGAAAAATGG